ATTCCTGCTACTTAGAAGATACCAGAGAAGAAAGCGATAAGTAAAATTAAGCTAAACAGAACCTAACTTGTTTGTTTGTTCTACCTGATATATATTTTAGATCTCATTATGGACTTACAGCCTACTTTTGCCAGCTAAGATCTAACCATATTAAGAAATGCTGTGCTTGTTGCAACAGCACTAAAATACCTTTTTCCCTTGAGCCTTTATACCTATAATTTGTCTTGCATGATGCAAACTATTCATATGAACCTTATGGGGCATAATAATGATTATCAATGCCCCTTAGAAAGCATAGTGTTAGTTTAATATAATAGCTATAATTAATCTTCTGACTGTTTGTATGCATAGGTTTAGACATATTGCAAATAGGCACAAAAACATATTCAAACATAGCACAATGTCCGTGATTTAAAGCTATATTTCATTATTTCTTTCCTGAACTATTACCTTACAGTTATAAAATAGTTAATGCAACACCAAATAATAACCTTTGCTATAATATATATACAATTCTGTCCCAATATTCCTGTAATTATTTCCCCTTGCATGTGTGTGTATATGTATATTTACACAGTTACACTAGGCATATATATATCTATGCCTAGTTGTGGCATCTTATTTCTTAATCTATTATTGCCTAGGAGAGAGCAGTTTCAGCCTGTAGTAATAATAATGATGCGTTTGTGACTATTATTTGTTTTGACAGGGTCCAAAAGAATAAGTGACAGTGAAGTTTCTGACTATGACTGTGATGATGGAATTGGTGTAGTTTCAGGTATGAATTCCTACATGCATTCTTCTGTGTTTCATAAAGAGCTTTCTTATTTATAGTTTACTATGATGAAATTGAATAGTGCTCTTCTATATAATAAATTGACCCAAAATATGTATTTTTCTAATTAAGCCAAAGAATGTTTTTCTTAACACATTTCACTTTGTGTGTCCTGCAAAGGGAAAGAATGATAAGCCATTTTATGCTTCTTTTTGATGTATAAAAATAATGTTTTAGAACATGTGATCCCAAATAACCTCTGACAAAAACAAACAATAACAACTAGAAGGATGGATGGATGGATGGATGCGTGTGACATAGAGTAAGTCCTCCTGGAAACACAGGAGTGTCCAGAAAGTGTGACATTCCAGGAGACAGTCTGGGTGGGGCAATTGGAACATCCTGGTATGGCAGGACAGCAACAAGGCTAGACCCCAGACTCTTGCAAGGGCAGTACAAAGAGTGTTATTTCTTTACTGTAAATAATTTTTTATATAAGTTCCTATAAATAAAGAAGTGTTGCTTCAACACCACAAGCCTCATCAAGATACTACAGGCTGAATGCAGTAACTCACTTGCCTTGAGCCAGTTCAATTGTTGCTTCAGGCACAAGATACAGTACACAGCCCATAATTAGTGAGAATTCTGCTAGGGCAGCTATGAGAGGGTTAATGTTGGACTCTGCTCTTTCTAGTTGCTGAGCCAGAGAGAATCTGGAACCCTTTTGGCAGTCTGTAAAACACAGTAGGCGCATCTACACAAGGTGTTTATTGCGGAGTAGACGAATTAGCTCCACAGTATTTGTTGCACATATACACACGTGCCCCTATTAGGCTGGATTAAACTAACTCCACAGCAGGGTTGTACTTATAAATACAAGTATTATCCCACTGTGGAGTTTTTTACTCCACAACAGTGCATGTGTGGACACTGCTCTGCTGGGTAGGACATGAGGGTTCTCCAGTGCAGGGGCAACTTGCCGGCAATTGCAACATGGAGTTTAGTGCAGGCTAATTTACTCAGCTTCTCAAGTGGATTTTGCAGCCTGTGCTGAGACTATACTGTTGCCACTGCTAGATTGCTACTAGCTGCTATCACATTAGTTAATTGCACTATTGTCAGTACTAATGACTGTGGTGTAGATATATCCTAAGATAAAGAATAAATATTTAAAAAAACAACTCCTTTTGAAAAATAATAAAATAAGAAGAAGAATATTCTACACACTACATGCCTTATGGTCACACAGAAGCAGCTAGGGATATTGTGTAAATGGAATATAAAATCCTTTAACTCCTTCTTCTGTAAGAGGTAGCACTATTTGGGAATGGAATACACTTCTTGGTGTCCGGATTGTTAGCTCAGTCCTCTATGGGTGTAGGCAGAAGTGGCAGTTTTCACACAATCTGGCCACAGAAAGTGGTTTATAGCTGTTACCAAACACATGCACATGGCTTCAGATAGCTTCAAATATGGTTGATTGGGTGAAAATCTGAACCCTCATTGTATGAGGGGTCAGATTAAGTAATTTCAAAACAGAGCACCTTCTGTAACTTCTGCCTGCCAGCCTGTTATGGTTTTCAGAATAGGAAGGGGGAAAGGGAGTGGAGGGAGTTAGGTCTGGGGGTTTTCCAGCCCCTGCTGGAGTGTGGGAAGGGTGTATTGGAGCCCCCCAGGGTGTAGGGCCTCCAGTTCACCCACCCCACACTCCAATGCTGACTGAGGAACCCTTAGAATGAGTTCCCTTTGCAACCTTTCCCCCCTCCCATTTTGAAAACAGAACAGGCACTCATGGAGGAGGGGCAATTGCCAGGAGAAACCGGCTGCAGTCTCCCAGTCAGCAGCTCGATTCCCCTTCCCCGTGGAACCAGCAGTGAACTTCTGTTTTTTTCCTGGGGGATTGTTGTAACTCAGAACACTTCCTGCAAATTGTTCTGAGTTACAGTGGGGAGCTGCACTTCTGTCTGCGACCTATATTCCTAGACTTTTTCCCCCTACCACTCATCCTTTGCTGAAGCCCACATTTCAGTGCTTCTTTATTGATGTTTCCTGAACTGAGACCATGTCCATATCTGGAAAATTCATTATATTGCAAACTGTATTAACTATTAATTAACAATTTGTTGAACATAACAGTTAATGCAGATGGAGCAAATCAGATTGCTAGTGTGTTCAGCAGTTGTGATTTAACTTTAGGGATCCCTACAATCATGGTTACAGAGCAAATTTTTACACACAATTTTTCCTTGTCTACACTAAGGGCTAAGTAGTGTTTAACAGTCTAGAAATTAACATATTTCTAAAATTATGTTTTCCTTATTTAGACAACTTGTTGAGAGGTAATTCAGCTCCATTATAGAGACAACCAAGCTATAGTTGTGCCTTTGGAAATACACATTGGTGGGATTGCAGCTGGGGTATGGTTCCATCTTTAGGTAACCTCTTTTGTTCTTTTGGTCTTCTGTGCATCCATCATATGTCTCTTTAGAGGAAATTTCATTCAGGTCACCCTCCCTGGAAAGATATTAGATAATCATCTCGGCTTCTATGAGATGAACCAGGATTAAGACAGAGACCCGAGAATAGGTTAACAAAGTGGGCCTGAGGTATAAACTGAAAACCTTTAAGCACAGATAAACCCCTCCACCATTGTTTTAAATTCAGCTTTCAAGGACATAGGAATCCTTGTTCTTCTTTCCCCCTAAACTCCTGTATGTTTGGGAGAACCAAGGCGATAATTGCATGGCATTAGCTCTACCCCTACAAGGTGTCCTTTAGAAATTCCTGGTCCCAGACACAAGGGCCAAAAGACCATACAATTGCCCCCTGCTGTAAGCCTATCTCCCAGTCCACAAGGACATTGAGAAAATTGTTGAGGAATCCTGAATAAACATGACTGGAAGTCAGCTTTTCTTGATGATTCTTTGGGCTTGATGAATTTTTGCTTACCAGCAACTGAATGAGCAGAAGACCTTTTTTGGAAAGCAGAATTCAGGCTTTATAACCAGCCCATTTAGGAGATAAGATATTTTAGAAAGATAATATAGGGTATGTGCAGAGGTTACATTTAAATGTCCATCTGTGCAAATATTTGGGGGTTTAAATTGGGCCAAGAATGGTGGGCCCAATCCAAGTTAGTTCACCTAAGTAGGTGAATTAACTTAGATTGGGAATTAGTTAACCTGATCCAGCAAATGTCTGCACACATTCGGAGTGCAGCCCTGGGACAGCATTCTTTCTACCTCATGACTTTGACAGCTATTTTTAGCCCCTTTCCCTCCCTTCCCTCCCCCACACACAGACAGACAGACCTACTAGCCTCCTGTGCAGATCTGCCAGCCCCTCCACCTGATCCTGCCAACTCTCTCCCCTGGAACAGCCAATCCCTTCGTGGACCCACTACTCCTCGTGATCCCACCTGCCTGCCCCTCCCCACACCTTGAGAATGCCTGTACATACCCATAGACTTCATGGTAGCAAATATTTTGTCCCAGTGACCCCAAACACCATGCTTACCTTTACAGCATAAAGCACATTCAAGTTTCTGTTGGCTGCCTCTGAAGTCTCTTCAGAATAAAGTTCCATGGATTCCACCAGGGAATAGTTCCTAGGAACATGTCCAAACTGGTAGAGTTTGCAAATTAAGCCACAGAAAACTTTGTATGCCAGTTCCCTTGAGACATTTCCTTTTTGAGAGAAGTCTTCTATCCACCTTTAAATAGCAATGGAGAAAGCTCTGATAAGATCATTAGGTTTGTTTGTTGATTCCCATAGGAAAAATTGTAGATTTTGTACATTTCTCGCCAGGCTTCCTCCTATATATTCCTATACATAAAAACAGAGAGGAGATTAAGTAGGCTTTACATTGCTGCTGGAAAGACAGTAATTCTCACATCTATTTCCTGTGGTATGGCTGTTTAGTTTAGATCTGAAGTGGTTCAGCTTCTAGTGTATACTGAATTGTCACAGCAGTAAGACCTGGCAATCATCCTTTTCTTTGTACATTCTTAAAGGTGTTTTCATATCCCAGTTGCTCATTCGCATCAGAATATCTCTAATTCTCAGGAACCCTCTGACTTGATGTTAACATCCAGAATGCTTTCATGGATGGTTCTTGGCAGTGAAAATTTAATATCCTCATCTAAATCTCTGGAAAGGCCCTAGGATCACAGAAGGTTTTACAGTTATTTTATTTGAGAATGGTGGCCTTACTCTGAAATACCAGGGATTTATAACGTAGTGACAACACAAAGCCAGTTCCTTATTAGATCCTGAAATGTGTATTTTACTTGACATTAGATGTAGTTTAATTTCTCAGGAAAGAATCCTCAAGGCTGGTAGTTCATCTTTGGGGAACCTGAATCATTCAGTTAAATTGGTGCTTCAGCTCCAACACACAATGTAGTCCATAACTTTTCTAATTGTGGCCCGGAAAATCTGCTTATAACCTTTGCAAGGGAAACGTGGTGCAAAAGAAATCCCAAAATGGTGACTTATGCATAAGAATCTTATTGTCACTTTTTGGTCACCAGGTATTTTTTGTCAATTGTAAAGTGTTACCACTACATAACCTGCAGAATCAAAAAACTTCAAAGGTTTTTTTCTCCCTAAATGATGGGGAGAAATCACTCTTAGTCTGGCTAGGCTCTTTTG